GTGCTTGCTCATAGGGGTCATATGATTGTTGGGTTTTTTCTCTGTATCTATGAAGCGCCTTGAGGCGACTTATGTTGTGATTTGGCGCTATATAAATAAAATTGAATTGAATTGAAATTGAATAGTCTGAAAAGATGTATGATTTGCCAAAGAGCTTGGCTGTGCTGAAGCCTGTAAAACTGCTTCAGATGAGGTACAAGAGTCTTTCTCCGAACCTTTGATTTACACTAGGCTGAAAGTTTATAATGGATTTTTTTTGCCCACTCATTCCAAAAGCAGGTTGCCTATCTTGCCTTTAAGAAAAGTGAAGTCAAATTCTGGAGTACTGAGAGAGATAGTCACTAATAGTTTCTAATTTGGGTTCTCACGGTTGATTTAACCCAGTGTTTTACCCTTGCAGCATCGTTGGCAATAAAGGAGTAAATTACATACAATTTTAATAACACATTGAAATGCACATAAATGACCAAATCAGTGAAGCGTACTCCATAACTGGGAGCTAGAATTTGTGTGTAGGCTGGAAAAGAGAAACTAGTAGGCAGTCATGATCACTAATGAGAAATTAATAGGCCTCAGCTTTGTCAAGTTAGGACTTGGACTTTTTAAAAAAAATTAAAGATATTTGCTGTACAATTATTCCACCATGGAAAAAGAACACTGAAGAAATCGTTAAAAGCCCCAAATTACCATAGCGTTCAGGCCCATGATGAGTCTGTGTAAATGTCTAACACACTCACCACTGCTGTACATGTAGTAGTCCAACTTTAAAGTCTTGAGACGTCTATGGTTTGGGCATTGAACATCGATTTTGATTTATTCCGACTGTTCCTCTGAGGGAGTGAATATGCCTTGCTTCCTTAAGGTGATTGACAGATGTGTTCTGTGTCCCCGCAGGTTGAGGTCATTATTCGTGGCAGGAGAGCGATGTGATGTGGAGACCCTGCAATGGGCAAAAAGGAACTTTGGAGTTCCTGTTCTGGATCACTGGTGGCAAACTGGTAGGAAGAATTTTACTTTCTAAAGACGGAAGCAAAAGAAAGCAAGAGATTTGAATTGGGGAAGGATATTTTTATCTTCGTGACAGACTGGATATAAACTGAACTGGGGAAGCTTCTTGCTAAATAATCTTGTTCCATGCATTCCCTTTAGGCCAAGGTTTCATGTTGAACAGAAACCGGAAAACTGAAATAGCTGGCTCATTCTTAAACATCCCTCACTGAGCTGTGCAGCAACCCTTTTACGGTATTTCTTGGGCCTGTATCATCACAGGACGGCCAGACTGGCATACAAAAGTTAACTTCATAGACTTAATACCCCTGTTTTTTGTTTTTTTTTCTTCTTTTGTGGTTGAAGTCAAAATTGTTAAAACATTTATCTTTTACCATATGCTCTGAGTGAACTGCAGTTTTAATTATGCCATTATATGAAGCTAAGAAGCACTTTTTTCTTAAAATTTAGGGACAAAGTCCTTTTGATATGGAAAGGATTTCAAAGACTTGAAGTTCTTTATTAGCATGAACTCCATGAGATGATGTAATTTAACTTGATCTTTAAGAATCAGCCATTCTTTAACCTTATCTGCTTGAGATGACTATAAATGTGAGCTTTCCTATATTTTATTAGCACCTTGACATTAACTTGACCTCGAGCGAAGGGCTACTCCAGAAAATCACTATTCCCCAAAATGCCTGCTGACATAATTTAGCACATTTTTATCACACTTTCCTCTGTGATTAATCCTTTGTACGGTTAGTATCACAGTTTGGGGGATTAGACCCTCTCTGATGGGGGAACTGTAGCACTTTAAGCTTGAAATTCAAGCTTTTCTGGGAACCCATCATCACTCTAGTGATATGGCATCATATACAGCAAAGGGATTTATAGACATGATAGTCAGATAAATGGCTTGGAGGGTTAAGAGAGCAGCCAAAAATGTCATTGTTGCATTTATTATTGTATTTTTAACATATTCAAAGTGAATCAGATAACATATGACAACGTTCCACATTTTGACTGGCCCTGGAGGGCATGCACTTTTCTTAAAGTCCGTTTTTCACCATTGCATTTGAAGGGAAGTCTATTTATTCTAGTCAAACAGTGGTTAGCCTATTCGGTGCTATGTCCTGTGAAAGCCACAAATCGCAAGTTAAAGTTACAGATTTTGTTGAATATGATTGGTTATTCACGCATGAGAAAATATTGTGTGAAGTGACACAGTATATGCATGTCAAACTTGGCTAAAAATTGTTCAAATAGGCTTACTTTTCTGAGCTACTTTTTCGCTGAAACTGTTACACTGTTACCAGGCATAACAGCAGCTGAAATAACAGTGAATTTATAAGAGAAAATGGGACTATAAGAACAAATGTCAGCTTATTTTCTTATTTTACTTGCTGAGGGAGAAAGTTTGAAAAGCTAAACTCAAATATAGTATATTTGACTACCTCCAAGCCTTGTTAATACATCTTACTTTGTTCTACAAATACTGTTTGTCTCACATTTAACTTGTTGGGATGTGTTGTGGTCACTATACCCATCTGGGATCCTGAGATGTGAGGACTGATCTATGCGTTTAATGAAGAGATATAAAGAGGAAGGAAAAGAATCAGGGGGATGGTGTCCATCTGTTCAGCGGTGTAAATTCAAATTGCTTTTTAGCTGAAGCATGCTTTGAGTTAGACAGCTTAATGCTGAGTCTTTCTGTTTGTTGGTGCACACTTTATAATAATACATATACATAAAACAAGATTTAACTGATCGTATTGATTTTTCATTTAAACATGAATGTAGGAATTTGTGGTTAGTCAGCCCTGGTGCAAAGGGCTTTTCACCTGGGTCTATCTGAAAATTTCCATTTTCATAGTCAGTTACTTTGCCGCTTTGTACTTTGGATTAATGGTCTCCCCAGAAAGGTGAATTCTGATCATCATTTTTTAAAAGCTTCATATGTCCTTTAACTTCCTGGGTAGAGTTTGTGGTTTTTGAAAGAGAGCACAGGCTTCCTTTCTTCATCTTCCAGTTAACCTGTGGCACACCATGACTGTTGTTATTCAGGGGAGTAAGATATGTAATTGAACTCTTGAGTTCTAGCTCTCACTGCACTGTTTCTTTTGCATTGATTCTTCAGTGAGAAAGACCTTATTAGCTTTTTGAGTGGGAGGCTTGAATCCACGCAGCATGCTAATGTCATGTCCTCCATCACACCCATAGTTTCATTTCTTTAGTTCTCTTGAACTAATGAACTATGATAAATATCGTCAGCCACAGTGACAGAACACAATTATTATCATGCCGCTTTGTTTTTTAATATCTTGTCAGCACGGATGGGGGATCGATGTTGGAGAAGATGACATCCCTGTGTTAAATATGGAATCAATACTGTGGCTGAACTGTGGGGAAACCATTGACCTTCAGCGTTGGTACATGCAGGGCACTCCAATCTAAGAACAGATTAGCCTGCTTGGTTGATTGTGTTGTCCAGCATGAATTGAAATGTAAAGAGCTTTACATTTTGTGTCATAGAATTGTGAGCTATTAAACTGAGGTCATGGGAGTTTCTCCAACTACTCAGCATGTTTTTGGGACTTGGAAAAGGCACATTTGTTCTTGGGGTTTCCTAATGGGGGGTACATTAAACGTTTAAGATATCAGGCCTTTTGCTGTTGTTTTTTGTTTCCATAATTACAATGATATGGATTCAGTAGTGGTCTATTATGATGAAGAGACCAAAAGATCATAAGGGTTCATGGGCTAACCCATAGTGATGGAATGAGAAGTGCAGTTAGTCAGTGTCTTTTGACTGGGAGGTCTGAGTACGTCTGCTTAAACTGCTGCCACTGTGCCCAAGATCAGAATAGATTCCACAAATTGTAGTTTGAGTCCATATTGTTGAATTTTGGTATGCCCACATTTCAAAACCTTTTGAACACCCCCAGAATAGCTGTTCCTTTCAAAAAACCAGTCGTGTCTTGCCAGAAGAATTTTGAGCCTTTACACACCTCTCCTCACAACAAACTTTCCAGGTAATTCAGCCTGTGCTGGCTATGGGTAACTGGTGAATAAAGAGTAGAACAACATCTTGCCTAAAGGCAAAAGCAACTTTAGGATTTAAGTAATGAAAGCCTTGGCTGGGAATCCACAGTATGTCTGTTTAATAATGTAGTGAAGCTTTGTGCATTACATAAAGATATATTTACATTATTTAAAACATTCTATATACAAACAGTGCATTGCTTGCCAAACCTCACCCTGTAAATTTTGTTTACCACTGTGATTGATTGTCTTCAATTTAAGATAACCTTTAGGAGCACCATTGCTTTTGTTAGGCAGAGGAGCATTCAAATATGCCTGTATTTTTTGTCTCAGTACAGATAGCGTGCTTGATTTGGGGAGGCAGCCTGCATTCAGTCTAGACTGGGTTTAATGATGGGTACTCTCTTGGGTGGTGACCTTCCGATCCCAGTACTGGGCAACAGTTTCATATATTGTCGGTTATTGATTAGCACAAGGGCTGCATCGGTACTGGATCCCTTCTCTATGGTATTTCTGTTCTTAGTTTAAACACTCATAGACTCACATTTTTGTAGCATAAAGCTTTGCATCAGCATTTATTGTTCATATCGCCAGTGTGGGAGTTGAAGGGTAACGAAGAAGTAGCAGTAATCCACTGCCAAACACAAGCATGATGCTCACGAGCATTCTGCTGTCATCTTATGTAGCTGCTTTCCCTTTTATTTGTATATTAAAACCTATTGCTTTCCACCTATAGGTCCATCTCTGACTGGCAGTGCAGAGTGTTGAACCAAAACAAACACTCACTATCAAATATGTGTTGTGCAGAGCTGTTGATTTCCATCTTCCTCTCTGTAGCCTTAGTGCTTGAGAGACAGCATTGCATTCCACTTGAACATAAAGGGTGTTTGTATCAGTCAAGTTTAAATCCCACTTCCTTTTCTCTCCCTCACACACACATGCACGCACCAAAACAAAATCCTGTCACGCTCCGTGGCTATCCGAGCCAGGTGATTTATTGGGTTTGGAGAAAAACCTCTGGCGCCCTCTTGATTTCTGTCTAGATGTGTAAATCCCATTGGATTCTTCACCCCCTGCTAAACTCAATAACTGGCAGCTGGTGGCCAGCACTGCAATCCAAATGTGTTCTTCACTTTTTCACGGTAGAGTGGGTCACTCCCTGTCTCACCCTCTTTCTCTTTGTGTGCCAGGGACTGTTTGACTAGAAGCGTGTGGGTTAAAGAGACACTGCCATCACATACATATGCATTAAATCATCATAGTTTGTCATTTTGTCTTGAGGCTGCAGTTGATTTATTTTATTTATTTATTTTTATCTGTCTGAGCTGAACACCTTTTTTAGTTTTTATTTGAGCAGCAGTTGCTCTGAAGAAATTAAAACCAACAATTATATTAACACACTTGGGTATTGCATAGCCTGATACAACATATATAATGTAATCTATATACATATAATATAATTTAATATAATATAATGTACAGTGGAACCCTGACTTACGAAATTAATTTGTTCCCAAAGGTTTTTCGTAAGTCGAAGCACCCATTGCGCGTTTTGAGCGAGGCGATGCTGAACGATAGGCTATAGGCTAATTGCTAACTAGAACAACAATACGTCGTTCAAGTGGAAGAGCGAAGGGCAAGTACGGAAGCCAAGGGGTTGTCACATGATTCAGAAGGCATTGTGGGCATTGTAGGCTCAGCCAATCAGAGCCAGCGGATTTCGTTACTCGGGCATTTTGCCGTAACACGGGCAGAAATATTGACGTTCAGTGCCTTTTGTAACTTGAATTTTTCGTGAAACGGGGTATTCGTAAGTCGAGGTTCCACTGTACATGTATGTTTGTGCCCCCGAGTTGGTCTCCAACCAGAAATGAGCTGTACTGGCACCTCTTCCTTTCTTATGATAGTCTGGCTCATGCAAACAAAAGGTTTGAACAGAAGTGGGTTTGAACTAATGTGCTTGCAT